CAATTTGTCAATAACTGTTAATAACCCTAAGATTTTTATTTTAAATTCCATTAAAGGGACAGTCCAGAATTTTGGACACAGGACCTCATTTCCTAGTGAGCCAGAGAGATTCCTTGTATTTACAGAGGTCGCTGGTGCTAGGCTAGTGCATGTCAATGGCCATAGTTATCCTGCCACTAAAAACACAGTCTTACCCACTCCACAAAACACCCAAAACAAAACTATTATTACCCCAGACTGTTGATGTGAATGTTTGTGTTGATAGAATAAAGTTTGAAATAAAACTACCCTTGCATCACATGATTCGTCCCATGTTGAGGTAGGGGTGGGCGATATCTTGATATTTTAAAACTTCGAGATATTTTTAAAACTCGATATGGGTTCTGACATATCGTATATATCGATATAATGCTAATGTTAATTTCTGATTTTGCCGCTTTGCTGGTTTGCCTTCTCTGCCTCCGCCTCCCTGATTTTTCTCGCGTGTGTTCCATTCACTCCTCACCACCGCCGCGAACGCCGAAAGTTGGTACCAGTGAAAAGCTTCTAGCACCACGAACCTTTTCTACCATTTACAGACAAGACCATCAGCAGCACATCCTCTGTCACAGAGAGAACACTCATATTCCACTGAGTCATGTCTTTTAGTCCGAAAGAAGCTGAATGCATTAGCGACACAAGGAATGTGCTGTTTATGTAAATTAGCCATGCAGTTTTAAGTTTCATTTCTGTAAAATGTAAACAAATGTGGCAAAGCTGCATTAAACACATTAGAATCTCAAACAGGCTGATGTGGCTCTATAGTGGTTATGTTTTATATGTTGTAAAGTTTATTTATGCAGAAGATTTTGCTGCAGTGTAACTTGTACAATAGTGTTTGGAAACGTTGGGTTTGACCTGCAGTGGATTGTGGGAAACCTCACAGCTCCTTACGCTGGTGAGGAACATGAGTCTGTTAAAATAAGGAAAATCCTGAACTTCCTCTTCTAAAGGAGCTCATGGTTATTGTACGGTTAACAGATTTAATGCAAAGATGAGCTTGAGCTGAGTTGTTTTATTCTATGAATAAAAAGAAGGCAATATGTATTATTTCTTTTATTTTACAGTTAAATTATTATTTATGTAATCAAGGATTTTTTGTCATCTTAAATGTGGCAGAAGCACTTTGTTGCTACATGAACTACCTCTTGCACTTCAATAAAAAAAGACCTTGTGGAATTTGACATATTTGATTTTGCAGGAGTTTTTGGGGAGTTATTTTTTCTGTACAGATATCGAGATATATATTGTATATCGAGATATAGCAAAATATATCGAGATATATCGCCAAGTCCTATGTTGAGGGACTATTTTCTCATATATCACTCCGCCGCTGTCAAACTCTCTATCAGGAAATACAACTCAATGCTGCTGCTCAGACATAAATCCTTCAAATGCAAGGTGCTCAGGCCCGGGTCTACAGGAGCGTAAAAGTTGCATTGAACCTCAGTTAAAAGTGTTTACTCCTCATTTTCAGGTGTCTAAAATAAAAGAGCATATTATGTTTGCACCCCTTTGAAACTCGAATGCTCCCTCAGGCAGTTTGGTCTGGACCCGGGCCGACAAGCGTTATATAAATCCAACGGTTACATAATTAATGAATTACTGGGAATGAGGAAAACTTGTACGTGTCCTCTAACCAAGGTTCAGTTTTCATTGTAATGCCTTTTTTTTTTTTTTACTAGTGCAGATAACATAGATCTTTTTAAATGCCCACTATGTAACTTTTCAGTAGGGGGCCTGTCACTTTTTGAAATGCCATTCCACAATATGACAATAAACAGCTCGACATTACCATTTATTCAATTACAGGTGGTTTTATTGCTCAAAAATAATTAGAAAAACAGATATTCTGACTGTGAGCGGGGTCGTCGCTCCACAGATTTAAACTTAGTCTGTCTTGATCTGGGGTACAACCCTTATTCCGTCATACAGCCACTCCGACAGACCCCCACCCCGACATTCCGTCATTCCAACAATCCTCCATCTGGACATTCGGACATTTTTTGATGCCGCTATTCCGACACCTCTTATGTCGCCATTCTGACAAACTACTCATACTTTGGAACGTCACCTTTTTTGTCTTGTATACGCCAAGCCTCGTCCCGTACACCACGTGGACTGTGCCACTAAACCAGGACTAAAATCAGGTGTAAACCAGGACTAAAACCAGGTCTAATCCAGGACAAAACCAGGACTAAAACCAGGTCTAAAGCAGGTCTAAACCAGGACTAAAACTAGGTCTAAACCAGGACTAAACTAGGTCTAAACCAGGACTAAAATTAGGACTAAAACTATGTCTAAACCAGGTCTAAACCAGGACTAAACCAGGACTAAACCAGGACTAAACCAGGTCTAAACTACGTCTAAACCAGGACTAAACTAGGTCTAAACCAGGACTAAACTAGGTCTAAACCAGGACTAAAATTAGGACTAAAACTATGTCTAAACCAGGTCTAAACCTGGACTAAAACCAGCACTAAAGCAGGTCTAAACCAGGACTAAAACCAGGACTAAAACCAGGACTAAAACCAGGACTAATACCAGGACTAAACCAGGACTAAACCATGCCATGTAGACCACGCCTCCTACGCCGCCAGTCAGTGAAAATATTGTCCTGAAAAGCTGCCGCCACTCTGACCACGGAAAAAGAAAACATCAACATGCCGCCACTCCAACAATTAGACGTCAATGTCTAGCTCTCCACCAGTAAAGTTACACAATGCACCTTTAATAAGTCATCAATAATCGTGCACAGAATGTCGATCGTTATCATAAAGAGTAAACATATGGGCTGTTGTAACCTTGAAGCTCTCGGTCCAATCATGCTCCTTTAACCTCGCCTAATCCATCCCAAATGTTACTGCGCACACGACCAAAGCCTCCCCTCCAAAACGTGTGATGTCCCGCCACTCATCTCGCCGCCACATTTCAGCCTGACCTTAAAACGTCTTTCCAATAAACAGCTGTCCATTTATTTCCCTCGCGCTGATTAATTCCGAAGGGCCGTGGATCATTTTTCATTGAACTACGCCTATCGGGCACGGCGAGGATAAAGGCGTGCCGTCGGCCATTAGGAATCGATGATATGCTTCTTATTAACTTCCACTGACAGTCGCCGCGAAGGTTTAAAGCCAGTGCGGAGCTTTAATGTCCCCCTTTCAACTGACACCGCCGGACAATGACGGGAATAAAGGGAGCGCTGTGATCTGGCGTGAAGTCAAGACAGCGTTGATCTTGTACGTGTGGAGCAGTTAAAGGCGCTAAGTGACATTTTCATTGGTTTCACTCACACGCCTTTTATATTCTATAGGTGCCGTTGTGAGGGCTGCGGCCATTTCCAATAAATGCTCCTGAGTTTGTCATAATAATATCATCAAATTATATTCTTAACGTCTGCCACTCTATAAAACACACTATATAAACTGTCTTGTTGGAAGTGTTGGAGGCAATATTAATTTTAGCTGCCCCCCGTTTGTATTAAATATTATTGAATTATAAATATTGTGACGTAAAACCCAGCAATTATTAAATATAATTATTTATATCTCTCTCTCTTAAAGGGCCTGTACCTGGTTATTTATCTTGTCATACATTGTGTAAGCAGCTCTTGAGGTCAAAATACTGTATTTTTCAAACTATAAGTCGCTCCGGAGTAAAAATAACACCAGTCAAAAATTACGTAATGACGAAGATTGAAAAATAAATTATAGCAATAATAGAACAGAGAACAACAGACTGTTAACGTCACATATGAACAGTTCTTCAGATAAATATAACATAAACAACAGAACAGAACAAATTTACCAAACTCTCCATCTCACTCCAAATCACTAAATCTATTCAATTCTTTATCCTCGGTGTCACTTCTGAGCAATTCCGTGACCTCCGGAGGTAAACAGAGCGCTGCTTCCTCTGCTGCGTAGCTGTCGTCAGACTCAGCATCAGTTCCAGTTAGAATTATTCTGGCCTTTCTGAATCCCGACAGGATGGTTTCGGTGTCACTGAAGTTCAGGCTTTGTCCATCCATCCAGTGACTTCCAGGAAAGTTTCATGGTGCATCCTCCTGGTGTCACAAGTTTCTCGCTCACTCCAAACTTTCTTTCTGCTGCTCGATTAGTTTTTGACAGTTTTTGGCTGCATATTTTGCTACTTGCAGCTTGTAATCTGCAAAATATGATTTTCTTTTTGGGGGCATTTGTGTTCAGTCTTCTAAGTTGTCTTTATATATTTGTTTAAATTTTAAATGTTCAGTAGTACAGAAGTAATGGTGCGATCGACTGACATGATACAGACAGGACAGAGACTCTTTCTGCAGGAGACATGCACAGAAAGGCCAAGTGACAGTGGTACAGGAGGAACAGGAGCAGGAGATACTGAAACACAAGCCTAGAGCGCCCTCTTGAGGCTGTCAGTGTGAAAACTATAAAACATAAGTTACACCGAAGTATAAGTCGCAGGAACATAAACCAAACCATGCAAAAAGTGCGACTTGTAGTCCAAAAAATACGTTAATTTTACTGTGTTCTGTCTGTATCTCATGATAAAGCGTTGTAGTGATTGAAAATCAGGAAGTGTGCTGTTAGCATGGTAGTTGTAGTTAGCATTGTGATGATCATGAATGATGCCATGACGTATTCTATTACATGACCTAGAGTACTGTGTTCTCAAATACCTGGAATACTTTTACATTGAGTTGCATTAAAAACACCTTTAACAACTTTATTTAAAGCCGCCTTTCTGGGCACTCAAGGACACTGTACAAACACTTCTATTCTGTATATCACCAAATTAAACGTAATTACAGGAAAACAGTCACTCAAAAACACTATTCTGACTACGTATTCTCAGTACACGTATTCATTTACTTCTCAACACTGTTCCTGTGGTAGTTCCATGACCTCCACAGTCTCCCAAACCAGCTTATTCCCCATTCCCCTCTGACAGTGCAGTATACTGACCATTGACGGTGAGGGACACTTCCTTCTCCGCTGCTCCCACTCTGGGGACCACGGCCCGGCACAAGTACTTCCCGGCATCCTCTTGCTTCACCGCTTTCAGGGTCAGTGTGTTCTTGTTGCTAAGCACCTGTCCGGGATGACAAAAGAGAAAACATCTCAGAATCATCATTTTTCTACTACTTCAGAAGCAATTAGAGGCGCACAAAGGCTCGGCGCCATTATCCAACACTGCAGAGTTTGTTGCATAGTTCAGCGTGGAGTGAATAGGTTTTCTTTTTCAATTTGAGTCTTTATAGGACCTAACTTCATTTTATAATGTTCTGAAGAAAAATTGTCTTGCCACATTACAGATATAGTGTAAAAGGTAAAAAGATATGGTAAAACTGTGTACTGTCTGTAGCTTTTAACTCGGAGGAAGTGTGTGTGCCTCTGAAAGTTGAGAAAAGCATCATCTCATTGCATAACCAAGATCCTAGGAATAGGCTGACAAAGGGAGCAATAAAATGAACACGTTTTTAAGGGCCTGTTTACACAAGAACGCAACAAAACAAAACAAAATATTTTATCGGAAGTGCCTTTTGTTTAGATCAGACATGAAATTCAGGCCGGGGGCTAAATTTGACCCACGATATAATTATTTTTGGGCCATTTTTATTTTATTTTTTTATTTATTTATTTGAGCAAGGTAAAACGAAATCCAAAAAAAAAAAAAAAAAAAGGATAAATGCATGTACATATTTGGGACCTCATGCTCAAAAGGGGTAAAAAAAAAAAAAAAAAAAAAGGAGAAAAATAAATACATAAACTTATATATAATATATATATATATATATATATATATATATATATATATATATATATATATATATATATATATATATATATATATATATATATATATATACACCACACACACACACACACACACACATATACGCATATGTACACACACATGTACAACCGTTCAGATAAACTATAGAGACATTATTTACTTAAAAGGTTGTTATTATTTTATATTATGCTTGTTATAGATTCACTGTTACTATTATTAAACATTTATTTTAATAAGAAAAGATTTAACATTACATATCTTGAAGGAAGAGAAAACATGCAGATGTTGATGAAATATTGAGTTTGGCCCACAACTTAGTCCCAGTTTTTAATTTTGGCCTCTGTGAATTTGAGTTTGACAACCCTGGTTTAGACGGTGACGGCATTTTTGGGGCTTAAAAATGTAAAAATCTGAAACCACCCTCTAGAGTGGAAAAGTTGAATACACTCCGGTGTAGCGTTTCCGCCTACACTGCCCAAGATGCAAAACTCTGGTCAAATACGTTTACATTTACGTCACAAACATCCAGTACACAGAAACCTAGCATGCATACCCAATCAAATTCCACACACTTTTGCGTCACTGTATGCACGCAGATTTCCTCTTGAAACACTCGTCCAAACATGGAATAAAAAGTAAGTAAGTAAGTAAGTCCCCATTTATATAATGCTTTTCACAGACATTTTTTGTCACAAAGATGATTTACAGAGCATTACATTCAGCATATATATTATTCATTCACTCTATACCTGGTGAAAAGTGAAGACAATTTTGTGTCTTCTGTTCAGACCGTCATCATATAAACGTAGCTTAAGACAGTAAAATCTGGTACAGGATCTTATCATAACTACCCTGTGTAAAAGTAAAACAAAACATACTACTTGTGTTCTTGTTGCTAAGCACCTGTCCAGGGCAAAAAACATCTCATAATCATCATTTTTCTACTAGTTCAGAAGCAATTAGAGGTGCACAGAGGCTCGGTGTCACTACCAAACACTGTAGATTTTGTTGTATAGTTGAGTGTGGAGTGAATAGGTGAATGAGAGCGAGACTTTCTTTTTTCAATTTGAGTCTTTAAAGGCCTGTTCTCCATTTTCTCATGTTTTTAATTAACTGTGTCTTGTCACAGTACAGATACATTGTACAAGCAGCTCTCGAGGTCAGAATAAGTCAGCTACACGTGTCCTGTCTGCACTATCTAATTCTAACGCATTTTATGATCTGAACCAGGGACCTGTCCGTTAGCATGCTAGTTGTTCTTAGCTTAACAATGACTGCATATTCAAATAGTTAGGATGCTCGGTATGCATCAGGTAAGTGAGGAATAACTTTGGACCACTGACTGTTTAAAATTAACTAGTTCTATTTTTCAGGTTTTTAAGACAGTAAATATCTGTTACAGCGCCCTTGATTTATCACTACAAAAGATGTAATAAAGTACAATTTGTCTTCCTACTTGAAGGAGTAGGACGACATCTGAGACTGAGCCCAAGTGCCTTCAAGACTGAAAAAAGACCAAATTCAAGCACCTTCATGACTGAGACAAAACAGAGTTCATGTGCCTTCAAGAAAGAGACAAGACCGAGTCAAAGCGCCTTCGAGATCGAGACAAGACCGAGTCCAAGCGCCTTCGAGACCTAGTTCACGCGCCTTCAAGACTGAGCCAAGACCAAGTCCAAGCGCCTTTAAGACTGAGTCCAAGTGCCTTCAAGACGGAGTCCAAGCGCCTTAAAGACCGAGACAAGACTGAATCTAAATGCCTTCAAGAACGAGCCAAGACCAGGTCCAATCACCTTCAAGAGCAAGACAAACTCAGTACAAGCACCTTCAAGAACGAGACAAGATCGAGTCCAAGCGCCTTCAAGACCGAGAAAAAAACCGAGTTCAGGCGCCTTTAAGAACAAGATAAAACCGAGTCCAAGCGCCTTCAAGACTGAGACAAGACCGAGTCCAAGGGCCTTCAAGACTGAGACAAGACCGAGTCCAAGGGCCTTCAAGACTGAGACAAGACCGAGTCCAAGCGCCTTCAAGACTGAGACAAGACCGAGTCCAAGCGCCTTCAAGACTGAGTCCAAGTGCCTTCAGGACGGAGTCCAAGTGCCTTCAAGACCGAGTCCAAGTGCTTTCAAGACCGAGTCCAAGCGCCTTAAAGACCGAGACAAGACTGAATCCAAATGCCTTCAAGAACGAGCCAAGACCAGGTCCAATCACCTTCAAGAGCAAGACAAACTCAGTACAAGCACCTTCAAGAACGAGACAAGATCGAGTCCAAGCGCCTTCAAGACCGAGAAAAAAAACGAGTTCAGGCGCCTTTAAGAACAAGATAAAACCGAGTCCAAGCACCTTCAAGACTGAGACAAGACTGAGTCCAAGCGCCTTCAAGACTGAGACAAGACCGAGTCCAAGCGCCTTCAAGACTGAGACAAGACCGAGTCCAAGCGCCTTCAAGACTGAGACAAGACCGAGTCCAAGCGCCTTCAAGACCGAGATAAGATCGATTCCAAACGCAGTTGAGTCCGAAACGAGACCAAGCCCGCCAAAAAACAGTCTCAAGGCCAGTTTCAAGGCCAAGAGCGATCTCGAGTACTACGACACTAGAGTCCTTGCTTTCCGCATGCCCAGGGCCATATAGAAAACAAAGTCATATTTTTTTCTAACTAGTTCAGAAGCAATTAAAGACGCACAAAGACTCGGCACATTACTGGACACTCCACAGTTTGTAGCGTGGTTGACAATGGAGTGAATAGGTGAATGAGAGCAAGATTTTTATTTTATCTTTCTTTTCTTCAAATTGTGTCTTTAGTTCCGGGCAACAAAGGCTCCTTTAATCGTGTTCTCTGTGAGGGACAATAGCGGCGTGTTTAGACGTTCAGGTATGTGTCCGTGGAGCAGTGCGTTCCATTGTAAAGTATGGCAGCAAGAGAAGGAAATGGAGAGCTGCAGACGGGAAAAACAACCTGAGATTCGCGATTTGAAAGCTGCATTATTTTTTACTTGGTGCATTCTCAGCGGATTTCAATCTAAAGGAAACGTAGATTTTTCTTGTATTGTTGTGCGGACGGCCTTGAAACTGTGGAAATTAGGTAAGAATGTCAAATATTGTGAGGGTAAAATCAACAAAGCTTTACAAACTAACGGAGAGACACTATGGAGGGTTGGTGGTATAACAAGCTGCCAACAAGCTGCCTTTGTGTTCTTAAAGGTGCATTCTGTAACTTTCCTATTGAGGGGTCTGTCAAATGGTTTAGGCCTGGTTTAGACCTGGTTTATACCTGATTTTAGTCCTGAATTTAGTCCTGGTTTAGTTCTAGTTTAGACCTGGTTTTAGTTCTGGTTTGGTCCTGGTTTAGACCTGGTTTTAGTCCTAATTTTAGTCCTAGTTTAGACCTGGTTTTAGTCCTGATTTCAGTCCTGGTTTAGGCCTGGTTTAGACCTGGTTTTAGTCCTAATTTTAGTCCTAGTTTAGACCTGGTTTATACCTGGTTTTAGTCCTGATTTTAGTCCTGGTTTAGGCCTGGTTTAGACCTGGTTTTAGTCCTGGTGTAGTCCTGAATTTAGTCCTGGTTGAGTTCTGGTTTAGTCTTGGTTTTAGTCCTGAATTTAGTCCTAATTTTAATGCTGGTTTAGTTCTCACTTAGTCTTGGTTTAGACCTGGTTTAACCAACCAAAATGTTACATACCGCACCTTTAAGCAGGACACTTGAAACTATTTGTGTGCATGTATTTGACAGTATTTGTGTAATTGACAATAGTGCAATGTAATTAGATTCTATAATAATGTAATATTTGAATATAGCAACAGAAAAATACAATTAAAGATGCCCACTGCTGAAATTTAACCTAAATATATTTGATTAAATCATGTATAATGAAATTACACTTATAAATCGTGATTTATAAGAAAATTTCACTCTTTCCTATTCCATGTAAACCCAAAAATCTGACTATTATCTGATTTCTGTTCAGATTATTGAAATGAGTGAGTAATCTGTTTTTTTATTATTCTGAACTGTACAGGTTTTGACAAGGAAAATTAAGCAAAAAGGGCAAACTAATGGCGTTTAAGGCTTAAATCCCTTCTAATACATTTCCGACTGCTTTCTATATATTTTATAAAGTAATTTCAAGCAAAATCAATATATATCTCAAGTACGTGCGGTTCGATTTGATTAAAGTATGCCCATTTTGATTAAAAAAGATTAAAACCTCATTAGAGTCGGCGGGCCCTTGGACTGTGATAAAAGAGAAGTGTGAAAACATGGCGAATTAATGAAAGCTGTCAGCAACCATACTATTCTGGGGTGAGGCTGGACCACTTTGTACTCCAAAACTGCCAAAAAATTTAATAAAATATATAAATACAACAAATAATAAGACTTTAATAGGAATTCCGCCTTGACTTTTTTAGTGATATATGCTTCAGATTTGACATGGGAATTGTCAAAACCCAACAAATGTTCAATCTAAAGCCGGTCATATGATCCCCCAAGACACCAGCTACACCTGGACTTATATTTATTTCCTCTGTACACAGAGTAAATGAGAGTAAAATCAAACCTACAGAGCCTCAGCTTCACAAAGCTGCATTTGTCTGTCTGTGCGCCAAAGCTCAGACACAGGTTCAGTTTAGATTGAGCCTTATTTTAGTCTGGTGTTTTAGGGGAAAAAGGTACGGAAGACGAGGGCGCTCATAACAAATACAAACAAACAAATACAAACGTGACAACACAACAAAAAGCCACAACACACCAAAAAATGTCACAACTGAAGTGACCTCAAGACTCTATTTTCCAACGGACCAAGTGAAGCATTAAAGGATCAAGCAGGAAGTGAATGGGAAAAGTTGAAGAAGAACAAGAATGTGAAAAGCAAACAAACAGAGAAGTGAACGAAGTTGGAAACATAAGTAAAAGTAATTTATTGTTTTGTGGCCAGGATCAATGTCACTGTCTGACCGTCGCTTGGTTCGACGGAAAATAGAATCCTGCGGTCATTTCTGTTGTGGTTTTTTTGTTGTGTTGTGGCTTTTTGTTGTGTTGCCGTGTTTGTATTTGTATGTATTTGTTTGCGTTTGTTTTGAGCCCTCCCAGCTTCCGTACTTTTTTTCCCGAAAACACCAGACTAAAATAAGGCCCAATCTAAACTGAACCTCTGTCAGAGTCCCGCGGTCACTTCCACTGTGACTTTTTTTGGTTTGTTGTGGCTTTTTTAGGTTTGTTGGGGCTTTTTGTTGTATTGTGGCGTGTGCATTTGAGTTGTCACATTTGCATTTGTTGCAGCATTTGCGTTTGTTATGAGCCCTCCCAGCTTCCGTAAAAAGAGTTTGGTTTTTTAAAGAACACATTATTCTTGAGCCTTTTATTTAGTTATAATCTCTGACGCCCGTGGATCATTATGTTATAATTTGGACTTTTTTAATTGCAATATTAATCTCAAACAACTTAATAAAAGAAATAAGACCAATGATTCAACGTTAGAAAAATGCGGTGCCCAATGGGAGCAGACATTAACAGAAACAATGATACATGAATGTTATCAAACGAAGAATCGCCAACTGCAGATCACACTAGTGAGTACCAGAGCAGTGGGCGTATGACAATGGTGGTAAAAAAGGAGGTTACTCTGCAGTCTGGCGTCGTAAAAACAGGCGATTAAAGATGACTTAGGCTGTGTTTATATGATGACGGTCTGAACAGAAGACGCAAAAGTGGCGTCGTGTCTTCACTTTTTATTCTGTGTTTAGACGAGCGTTTTCGGGAGGAAATCTGTGTGCATAAGGTGATGCAAAAGTGTGTAATTTCGATTGGGTAGGCATGAGAGGTTTCTGTGTACTGTATGTATGTGATGTAAACACGTACGCGATGTGAGCAGATCTGACCAGAGTTTTGCGTCTTGGGCAGTGTAGATAGAAACACTACAGCGGAGCATATTCAACTTTTCCACTCTGGAGGGTGGTTTCAGATTTTTTTGTTTTTAAGCCCCCAAAACGCTGTCACCATCTAAACCAGGGGAGTAAAATTCATTTTCACCAAGGGCCACATTTGGATCATGTTTGTCATTAAAGTGAAGACTGCAACTGTATCTGTAATATTGGTGCGTTACAAATCTGTAAAAGTGTGTATTTGATTTTTCATTTCATATTTATTAATTTAGTTTATTTTTATGTTTTTTACCTTTTTATTATTTACTGGTATTCTTGCTCTTATTTGATTTTACTACTTTTATTGTCTTAATGAGGTCTAGTAGAGTTAAGTAGAGCGTTCCTTTATATTTCTACTGGATATGTTGTTTGTATCGTGCAGCACTTGGGGAACTGTTTTGTTTATGAAATGTGCTCTAGAAATAAAGTGGATTGGATTTGATTTAAAGGTTTAAGTTAAAACATTCACATTACTCCTTAACATTCATGAAACAGCCGTCCTTCTGCATCAATTTTTCTTTCCTTGGACATTTTTGGGGAAATTTGATGAGTTTTCTTGGCCTCTCTAGGGGTGAGATGCAGTCACTTCACGGGGAACAAATTATACCTTCAAACCCATTGTGGGCCACATGAAATGGCTTGGTGGGCCGGATGTGGTCTAAACGAATGGCACTTCCGATAAAATATTTTGTTTTTACCCACCAGCGTTCTCATGTAAACAGGCCTTTAAACATGCACAAATCACTCCAAAACTTTGAGGGGGAAAATGAGAAGAAGAAACAACAAAAACATGGTTAAAATCTCTGAAAAGTCAATTTTTGCAAAATAGGTCTCCTTTAACAATAAGTTACTAATAATTGTATAAATCGCAGTGGATAGAACGTGTTTGTCCAGACTCTTACGAATCACTGACATTCAATTCAATAACTTTTTTCCAACATCAACTTTTTTATTAAAACTTTTGTACAATCGGACTCTTACAGTGGACCCTACAGGACAGTATAACTCAGCTGACAGTACGGACAGCGAACAAGTGATCAGCTGTGAATTCTCGGTGAAAAATTCAGCGGCGCGTGGAAAGTTTGTGAATTTTCAAACTGACAGTGTCTATATCTGTATGTGGCAGCAAAGACACCAGTGCATTCTATGAGTCATGTTTGAAAGATACTGCAGATGTATGGACCCCTGTAGAGATAGTTAACTTTTGTTCCAGAAGATATTGGCTCTGGAAGACAATATTGTTTCCGGATTTGATGGATGGAGTTGAAGTGTACAGAGCAGTAAGTATATTGAGAAAATGGTGGAACTTTTTAGACTTTTGGGTTAGACTTTATAATAACTCTTATAATAGTCTTAAAGGTGCATTGTGTAACTTTTATGGTGGAGGGTTTGTCAGATGCTTTTCTCCACTGAGACAAACTAGTAATTGCTTTGTCTGAAATGTTTCACATTAGGGCTGCTCGATTATGTAAAAAATCATTATCACGATTGTTTTGGTCAATATTGAAATCACGATTATTCAAATGATTATTTTTAGTTACAAGATGCATTTATTCAGTATTTCTCTCTAAAAAAAATATAATAAAATGCTTTGTTATTGATAATTTATGCAAAACTTTGAAATTGAAAATAAATATAGGCTACAAATATGTGCATGTATAAAACATAAAATGAATAAAATATACTCTGAACATGAAATAAGGCATAGAAAAACATAAATGTGTCCAAAATAAACTTTATATCCAGCTTTTCTACAATCTCTCTCTATAAAAAAAAAAAAAATCTCAAAATAAACTTTGTTAAGCTTTACTCATTTCAGCCCAATTATCCACACAAATTTGACACACAAATCGAAATCGTGATAAAAAATTTTATTAATTGCACAGCCTTATTTCATAGTACGGCATTAAACCTTTCTATCTTCATGGAGACCAAACTAGACCAAGTTACAGGTCAGATCTGTGGAGAGGTGAACCCACTCACAGTCAGATTGTATGTTTTTTTAATGTATTTTTTTGCTTTAAAACCAACTGCAATTGAATAAATGCAACATAGAGCTGTTTAATGTCATACTGTAAAAAGAAGACTTATAAAGACTTAATTCATAATATACAAATGGATTATTAAAGGGACAGTCCGGAATTTTGGACATAGGGCCTCATTTCCTAGTGAGCCAGAGTGTTGGAGACGTTTGGAGACACTTTTTAAAATATTCCATCCAGTCCTTGTATTTGTAGAGGTCGCTGGTGCTAGGCTAGTGCATGTCAATGGCCATAGTTATCCTGTCACTAAAAACAGTCTTACCTACTCCACAAAACACCCAAAACAAATCTATTATTATGCCAGACTGTTGATGTGAATGTCTGTGTTGATAGAATAATGTTTGAAATAAAACTAACCTTGCATCGCATGAATCGTCGCATGTTGAGGGACTATTTTCTCACATATCAGTCCGCCGCTGCCGAGCTTTCTATCAGGAAGTACAACTCACTGCTGCTCAGACATAAATCCTTCAAATGCAAGGTTGGTTTTACTTCTAAAATTATTCTATCGACACAGACACTCACATCGACAGTCTGGTGAAATAATAGATTAGTTTCAGGTGTTTTGTGGAGTGGTTAAGACTGTTTTTAGTGGCAGGATAACTATGGCCATTGACATGCACTAGCCTAGCACAAACGACCTCTGCAAATACAAGGACTGGATGGGATATTTTAAAAAGTGTCTCCACACATCTCCAACACTCTGGCTCACTAGGAAATGAGGCCCTATGTCCAAAATTCCGGACTGTCCCTTTAAGAATGATTCGAGTTTAGTGACTATTTTATTAACGCCCTAATTCCTAACTTCTTAATTAAGAAGTTAAGTTAAGCGATTTTCCCATTTATTTCAATGAGTTTCAGAGAATATTCGCTTCTATGTTTGGCCTTTCAACTCCATTCAAACTCATTTTCTTATTCTTGACTTTAAATATGAGAGGAAATAAACGCAACACAATGAGGAATGAATCTCTCCACTTAAATGGCACCAAATTAACAAATTAAAAACACAGGATTAATCGCAACTGAATCAAAATTGCATATTTAATCGACAAAATAAGCAACCGTTTTAAAAGAATCATAATTTCGTCCAAAAACAATGTGTACAAACATGTTCAGAAATTTAGTATATAATAATTATTAGTTTGTTTGTCTGTTCTCTTGGATGCATTTAAATGTGAACTTTAAACAAAATCATTAAAAATCTAATTGCAAATCTGACCGCAATGCAGAAAATTCAGACAGATATTTTTTTTCCCAAATCGTTCAGCCCATTGCACTGTGGGTAAGAGCGTTAAACTCACCACTCCTGAGCCTTTCTTCATCCACACGATCGTGAGCGACGGGTTTCCAGACCAGGCACAGCTGAAGACGGCGTCAGAGCCCAGGTCCACCTGCAGAGACTGGGGTTCGGCCGCCATCCTCGGACCAACTGGACGAGGAGAAAAAAAGAAATCAAATCACCAGGTTTTTAACGAAATACACAAGTTAACAAAGCTCTGTGGCCGTTTTCTTCCAAGGTATTTGAGTAAAATGTGTTCTACCCCAGTACAGGTTTTGTTTAAGCAGATCTGGGGGTCAGCTGCGTTCTGTTTTTTATTTTGCCTTTTTTTTTTAAGCCTTAATACATCTGTTGTTCTTGCAATTTGTCTTTGAGACCTGCTTTATCATGTGAATAAATATCATGAGCCAATTGGATTGTTTTAACAAGAAAATAAAAGGCTATGACAATCGTAACATCCAAAACTATATGAGAAACCACAGCAGAGCACCGTAACAGTTTTCTTTTTTTTTTCATTTTCACATTCTGGCGAGTTAAGGCCTTTTGCTTTTGTAGGGCCGTATTGTTGTATTTGTATTTGAGCACAGTGTGTTCCTGGGGCAGTTATGTGTCCTTTGAAAGAGTCCAGGTCCAGAAAAACTGTTAATTAGTGCTTTGAAATTTACTTCTGAAATCCTCGCGTTTGCTGTGATCAGCCTGTGCAGACGGTAAATACAAGCCTATTCAGTCAGTTATTTTCACTGTAGACTAGGGGTGGGCGATGCCTCGATATTTTTTAAACACGAAATGGGTTCTGACATATAGTATATATCGATATAATGCTTATATATGCGCTCGCTCGGCCCCGTCTCCTTGATTTTGTGACCCCTCCCCTCGCATGTGTCTCAATCCTCACTCCTGCCGTGAATGTCGGAAGTTCATGCCAACCAGAAGCTTCTAGCACCACGAACCTTTTCCACCATTTACAGACTCAGCATCTGCAGCACATCCTGTCACAGAGAGAACACTCATATTCCACCGAGTCGTGTCCTTTAGTCCGACAAAAGCTGAACCCCATCAGTGCACGAGGAAAGAGCTGGGTTTTTTTTTTCTTTTTTGAGTGCTTTAGTTTATGCAAATGAGCCATGTGGTTTTAAGTTTTGTTTCTGTAAAATGTAAACAAATGTGCACAAAACTGCATTAAACACATTAGAATCTCAAACAGGCTGATGTGGTTTTATAGTAGTTATGGTTTATATATTGTAAAATTTTGATTAATGTATAGTTTATTTATGCAGAAGATTTTAATTATTAATCTGCTGCAGTTTATAACTTGTACAATAGTTTTGGACACATTGGGTTTGATCTGCACAGTGGATTGTGGGATACCTGCTTACGGCTGCTGAGGAACATGGATCTATTAAAATAAGGAACCTCCCAGGCTTCCTCTACCAAAGGTTTGTTATCGTTCGGTTAACAGAGTTAATGCAAAGATGAGCTTGAGTTGAGTTGAGTCGCTTTATTTTTTAGTTGTTAAATTATTATTTTAGTGTAAGGGATTTGTTTTGATGACGCAGAAGCACTTTGTTTCTACATGAACTGACTACCTCTTGGCACTTCAATAAAAAAAATAAAAAAAAGACCTTGTGGAATTTAGCATATTTGTTTTTTTGCAGTAGTTTTTGGGAGTTATTTTTTCCTGTACACATATCGAGATATATCTTTTTTTCAGGACTGAACTAGAACTGAACCAGAACTTAACCAGACCTTAACCAGGACTGAACCAGGACTAAACCGGATCTGAACCAGGACTGAACCAGAACTTAACCAGGACTGAACAGGACTAAACCAGGACTAAACCAGGACTAAACCAGGACTAAACCAAGTCTAAATCAGAGCTGAACCAGGACTGAACCAGGACTAAACCAGGACTAAACTAGGACTAAACCAGGACTAAACCAGGTCTAAATCAAAGCTGAACCAGGACTAAACCAGGACTAAACTAGGACTAAACCAGGACTAAACCAAGTCTAAATCAGACTGAACCAGGACTAAACCAGGACTAAACTAGGACTAAACCAGGACTAAACCAAGTCTAAATCAGAGCTGAACCAGGACTAAACCAGGACTAAACTAGGACTAAACCAGGACTAAACCAAGTCTAAATCAGAGCTGAACCAGGACTGAACCAGGACTAAACCAGGACTAAACTAGGACTAAACCAGATCTGAACCAGGACTGAACAAGGTCTAAACCAGAACTGAACCAGGGGTAAACCAGGTCTAAACCAGAACTGAACCAGGGGTAAACCAGGTCTGAACCAGAAATAAACCAGGTCTAAACCAGGACTAAACCAGAACTGAACCAGGTCTAAACCAAGACTAAACCAGGACTAAACCAGGACTAAACCAGGTCTAAACCAGGACTAAACCAGAACTGAACCAGGTCTAAACCAAGAAAAAAACAGGACTAAACTAGGACTAAACCAGAGCTGAACCAGGAATAAACCAAGTCTAAACCAAGACTAAACCCGGACCAAACCAGGACTAATCTTGGACTAGAACTTGGAATCTAGGACCTCCCCTGAGAGAACCCCCGAGCGCGATCGGGCGTCAGCTGCGTTTAGCGTTTAGGAGTTCTGCGCCGGGCCTTTTGCTCGCGCTCACGGTCTACGCGGGCTCACCTCCGACGTTTCACCGCTGCTGATATCGCGGAGATTTGAGCTCATTTGTATGAAGAAAAACGAAAAACCCACCACTTCAATCCAGGTAAAAAAAAAGCATTGTAACGCACGATACTGACATTTGTACCGAGTAAAAACATTACCACTTTTTTCCCTGTAATGCCGAACATTACTGCGTTACAGCAAAAAGCAACGCATTACAGTAATTTGTTACTTTTTTAACGCGTTACTCCAAACACTTCCCATAATACACAATTTTCAGATCTGTGTTATAATGTTCTGATGCATTTCGATGTCTAAAACTCTTTAATGTCTAAAACCTCACAGGAATCCGTTTAGCGCAATATAGGCCCCTTTAACTGTCATTACTGTAACCGAAACAAACGTACATAAACATATTTTTTACGACTCACTGATTTGAAACATTTCTTTATCTTCAGACGTGACAGGAGCGAGTGACAGGTGCAAGTCCCATGTGACAGGAGCAGCTTCAGCTCCGCAGTTGTGGTGGCGAGAGGAAGCGTCTCATTTGTCAAACGCACAAACGCTGACGACACAGTTCATTTGAGGTTCATTTGGATTGTGAGGAGAAATAATTACAGCCTGACACAGCACGTCTTCATTTGGGTTTAACGTGCCATGCTGTCGTTTGAAGTCAAAATGGCACAAGACTGGAATCCTTTGGGAATTTTGTTATACTTTATTCTACACAAACTGATATAAGATCACCAACTAACTTCTGAAAGTATCATCTGAAAATCCTAAAGAAATACCTTGACAAACTTTTATTCTTTATATTGAAACTGGAAGAATTTTGTCTATAACATTTGTTCTTCCTAAATACAAACAAAAAAACAAAAAGGAAAATGCTGAGAAGACGGAAACATAGAACGATTTTTTTGAGAAGATTGGGAGTCTCATTGGGGCATCTTATACACAAAAATATTGAAATACAGATATATCATGATACTAAATTTGGTGATACAGTATCGTTATTGTGGGTTGCTGTATCGCTATATCACCAGAAGTATTTTTTTAGCAATTTCTTTTGTGACCGCATGATTGATTGATTGATTGATTGCATTTATATAGCGCCTTTCAAGATACCCAAAGCACTTTACAGTTCATTATTCAGTCACTCCACACTCAGCATGACAGTTTTGTTGCTTATTTAGTGGAAGGAATCTTGTTTATTTGCCAGGCTGACGCCACCTAGTGCCTCCGCTCAGTTTCATTTCTCTTCAGCGACTAGGTCAGAAACCAAAATATACTTGTCGGTTCGCAAAAACCCTGGAAGTGCAAGTTCGGGCACCAGACAATCTGAGAAAAGTCATATATTCTGTGTTGTCAACGATTTCTGAGATCGAGGATTTAAAGCCGGAACAAAGAGAATGTTTGGTGAATTTTATCAAGGAGAAAGATGTTATTGTCCTTCTTCCTACGGGACTTGGGAAAAGCTTTATATACCAGTTGGCCCCATTAGTGGCACATTACATATGTCATGAGCAAATAGCAGCGATTGGTTAAATGATAAAAAGTACCCGCCTATCGCTGAGCGAACAAATTCTAACACTGCGAGGTCAGACTGATGAATCAGGCTACTTGTTTATGCCATACACTTGACATGCCCACTGTTTGGGTGATTAAAATAGAGGTATTTCATATTAAATTCACACAAATAGTGCTTTAACAAAAGGTATTGTTACTATAACGTGTTTGGTTGTTAATAAAAAACAAAACAAAACTATAAATCACAGAGTATCATGAGTATCATCGCACACAACTGCGTGAATCCTCTGTGTCTTTTATTTTATTTATTTATTGTTTTTATCTATTTTATTTATTAGTACTGTTTTTATGTATTGATTTTATTATTTTTGTTCATTGATTTTATTATTGTTGTTTTATTTATTTATTCTATTAGTGTCCTTATTAAACATGATTCTGCTGATTTTTTTTTTCTTTTTAAAGTAAAATGTTTTGCATTGTTATGTGAAGCACTTTACAAACAAAACAGTTTCCAAACAAAACTATATGATATACAAATAAAGTTGGATTGGATTGGATATCGTGATGAAACAGAAAATGCACACCAAGGTTCTTGCAGAGGTGCAAATGCAAGGAACAGTAAAATAAAACTGAAAAAATGCAGAGCACACTCAGATTGCCAATGTCCAAAAGCTCTTTTAAAAATGTTTAAATAACGTTTGGGAAAGGGAGGTCAACGACTGGATGGTGACCTCACTTTGGGACCTCCTTTTCATTGGAGGGGGATATGAGCACCTGGGCTGGTCACTAGGGGTGTGCAAAAATAATGAAATATCGATATATCGTATAGTTTAATTTGATAATACAGTATTGATATCGTGGGCTGCTGTATCAATATATGGGCAAGAGTATATTTAGGTATATTTTACTAAATTATTTTGTGTAAGAGCGACAATTGTCTTGACATTTTCATTGTTTTGATGAGTAAAATAGGTGTTGCATATTAACTTTGCACTAACTTAGTGGACTGAGTAGACTTTTAGTATCACAGCCATGATTTAGGCTTTGTTTTTCACTGAACCATATCAAATTTACTTGAAATATATTGTATCAAAACGTATAGGACTGAAAGTGCACTGTATCGAAAACGTATCGTATCGTAGCCTATGTATCGAGGTATGTATCGTATCAGCAACTTCTTAATGATACCCAGCTCTAGTGGCATCCATTTTGTATACTATGGTCCAAAGCAAGAAAAAATATCTAACGAAGGATTTTTTGCCGAAACATTATTGAAAAATGTTTTAAAAAGCTTTTGGACATGGGCCAACTGAGTGTCTTATGCATTTTTTCACTTTTATAATATCATATCATGTAGGGTGGGTGGGGAGTCTTTGCCTCAAGTGGAGGAGTTCAAGTATCTCGGGGTCTTGTTCACGAGTGAGGGAAGGACGGAACGTGAGATTGACAGGCGGATCGGTGCAGCTTCGGCAGTGATGCGGTCGCTGTATCGGACCGTTGTGGTGAAGAGGGAGCTGAGCCAAAAGGCGAAGCTCGCGATTTACCGGTCAGTCTTCGTTCCTACTCTCACCTATGGTCATGAGCTCTGGGTAGTGACCGAAAGGACGAGATCACGGATACAAGCGCTCGAAATGAGTTTCCTCCGTAGGGTGGCTGGGCGCTCCCTTAGAGATAGGGTGAGGAGCTCAGTCACATGGGAGGAGCTCGGAGTAGAGCCGCTGCTCCTCCACATCGAGAGGAGCCAGTTGAGGTGGCTCGGGCATCTGTTCCGGATGCCTCCTGGGCGCCTCCCTCGGGAGGTGTTCTGGGCATGTCCCACCGGGAGGAGGCCCCGGGGAAGACCCAGGACACGCTGGAGGGACTATGTCTCTCGGCTGGCCTGGGAACACCTCGGGGTCCCCCGGAGGAGCTGGAGGACGTGTTCTGGGGTGAAGGAAGTCTGGGAGTCCCTGCTTAGGCTGCTGCCCCCGCGACCCGGCCCCGGATAAGCGGACGAAAATGGATGGATGGATGGATATCATGTAGGGATGTAGCAATAACCAAATTATCATGATATTGTATTGTAAAAAGTCTCACAATAATATCATGAGCTGTCACAATATATCGAATTACAAGTTCTTTTTCTTAAATGCATGGTTTTATAGTAGCAACAGCTTATGAACATCGGAAACTACACATCCCATGATTCATTTCAGCGCAGACAACATGAAGAAACATGTTTTATACTTGGATTCTTGGGATTATGACGGAAATAATTCACATCAAAATCTTATCAAGGTATTTTAAAAGCAAAAAAGTTTCCCATCTACAATTATATCAGCCTCTTCAAAATATCCCAATAAATATCGTACCGTGAGATGCATATCGTGATAATATTGTACCGTGAGATTTGGATATCGTTACATCCCTAGTATCGAGAGCCGTGTATCGTGCATCATAGTGAATCATGAGGGACCCTGTGATTCATACTCAGTGAAGTAGCATGTTCTCGTTAGTAATAGTAGTACTACAGTCACTAATAACCTCAAAACCATGAAATTGTTTGTGTGGTTGTAGTACTCACAGTAGACGTCCACGTTGCGGCTGATGTTGGTGTGTCCCAGAGCATTGGTGACCTCACAGGAAACCGGCTCCGTGAAGAAGGAGTAATCCACCACCGCCTCATACGTGTCTCCGGTCACGTCCGGGATCACACTGCCCCCTTTGGCCCATCTGAGAACAACACACACGACACAAAAGGTTAAAGGTGCACTGTGTAACTTTCCGGGTAGAGTATTTTTTCACAGTATGATAATAAGTACAGAAGATAATTTGTTTCATGAGATTCTGAATTTTAAATGCCGTTGAATTTCTCACTTTGGATGTTTTAGCTCTGTTTGGATTATTTTTATTCTGAGTTTCAGTTGCTGAAATTTTAAGTGTGTGTTTAAAATTCATTAAAAAAATCACCTTTTAAACATTCAGCACAAATACATGCAAGTCTTCAAATTCAACAGTCAAAATTCAGAGTGTAAAATTCACAGTGAAAAAAAATAGCAGAAAAGATAAAGAAAAGAGAAAATTCAAACAGTCAGCGAAGTTAAATACCTTGGCCTCATTCTAGACAAAAATTTCAAATTTATCGGTCACATAAAATACTTAGTGAAGAAGATTAAAACTTGTCTCAATTGCTTCTGTTTCATGCGTAAAAATCTAACTCGCTACACTTCTAAACTATTCATGAACACAATGATCTTCTCGTGTTGATCTTATTGTGTCACGTCATGGTCGCAGGCCTCCTCAACCACATCCAAACCTCTGTTCATTTTACAAACTGACCCTTAAGGTCCTTGACAAAAAGCCCAGACACTGGCACCACTGCGAAAGTTTAAAGAAACATCAACTTTTTTACTTTGAAAATTTTACGAATTTTAATCATCTTAAATTCTTTAAGTGTCTTAACTGTAGTACACCACTGAATTCCGAATTTGCCAGCACCATAAAATGTTCACACAGAGCGACCACAAGAGGAGCTACTAGTGATAATTGTGTTGTTTTTATGTACAGGACAAACTCTTGGTCAGTCTCAACAAATTTAAAAGTAAATTAAAATTATTGTATGTTTCCAATCCAAAATGCATCCACTGAAAATGTACTGTATATATTTTATCTGTATGTAACCTATCTGTCTTATATTGTCTGTTTTTATGCATGTAGTTTATATTTTTTATATGGACAGGTGTTAAACTGGCTAAAACAAACAAAGCAATGCATCTGGCTTGTCTAATGTGATTGTGATGTCCTTAATAAACATAAATAAAATAAAATAAAATATCCAAGACACCAAGGCAGAAGCAATTGATCCAAAGTGATCCGATCTAATTTAGTAACAAGCAGGAAATGGTGCAGGGAAGCGATATGATTGGTCAGAATTAGCTTATTTAGCTTTTTTAAGTGTAAACCAAAACCACAGATGAGAACAGACAATAGGAAACCACCTCCTCACTCACACAGGATTGATTGTTTCTGCCTTGGCATCTTGGATCTTTGAAATTTTACACTCTAAATTTTAACTTTTGAATTTGAAGGCTTGAAAATATCTGTGTTGAATATTTAAAAGGTGACATTTTAATTTTGACTCTGAAATATATTGAAAAAGAATACTTAAAATTTCAGCAACAAAAATTCAGAATAAAATAATCAAATTCTTTTTTCAGATTAAAAAAAGTGAGAAATTCAGCGGTATTAAAAATTTAAAATTAGATGGAACAAATTATCTTCCATAATAAGCGTATATATTTCTATGAAGACAAGCAGCATGCCAATTTACAAGTCAGATCTGTAGTGAGATGGGGCAGCATTATAGTACATATTTTTCAAAGTATTGTTTTATTTAAAAATATATAAACCACCTGTCAAAAGTTTGAGAACACCCTAATTTTTCCAGTTAAGTAACTTGCCTTTCAAGATGATTTTATAACGTACATTTCCCCCAAAAAGTGTGACTTATAGTCGGGTGTAGGGATGGACATTCGATGAAATTTTCTTAATCGATCATCAGAATTAAAATGATCATCATTATTATTACTATCTGCACTACTAATCTGCATGGATAAATTCAACTTTATGACATATAAACCGTAACCACTCTAGAGCCACATCAGCCTGTTCGACATTATAATATGTTTAATTCAGTTTGCGCAACTCTCACAGAAACTAAACTTAAAACCTCATGGCTAATTTGCATAAAGTAAGCGAAGATAAACATACAGTTCTTGTGCGCTGATGCGGTTCAACTTCTGTTTGATTAAAAGACATGATTCAGGTGAATACAGGTTATTGTGACCAGATTTGCGTTTGTCAAAACCAGGACACCGTATGGGGGTTGGGAGGTGGGGACTCGTCATCAACATTGCGCGACTTTCACCTGGTAAAGCTTTTTCCCACTGGACACTGAAACATATGTGCTGCTTTGTTCACTGTGCACATGGACTCACACTTGTCCCGAACGCAACGGAAAGCGTGGAATTTCTTGTACAAGTCATCGTTAAATACACATTTGTGCTTCGGTACGTTGCAGACTGACCCGACTGTTTGTGTCTCGCTCCTTCTGAGTGCAGAGACACATGTACGGACCCCTGTTTGGTCACACTACACACAGCAACCTACATTCGGTTTGTCGATTAAAATTAACGTAATCGATGAAATTCTTAATGATCAGTTATCGATTAATCGACTAATCATGCCCATCACTAGTCAGGTGCGATGTTTTTTTTCTTTTTCATTACATATTTTTTGGCAACTTATACTCTGGTGCGACTTATACTCCGAGAAATACAGTAACTTCTTTTACCTGACTTTAATAATAGTTTTGTGCTTCAACAGTTGATTTGCGCAGTTGTCCATGCTGTTTTTCTCTTTTTTTTTTTTACATGTGTGTGGTTCTGGCTGGACAGGTAAATTAAAAACATGGCCTCTGTATTATTTTCATTCATGGAATTTGTTATAAACATCTGTCACATCTGCTTATCTAACGGCAATGAAAAGTGTCCCATCTGTTCAAATGTAATGGAAAAAAGACCGGCCTTGACAAATTCTGGCGTTATTATACTAAAATGTCTCTTTTGGTTCATCCTCCTCTTTTTCACCAAACAAGGCAGAGTCAAGAGTCACACGTGCTGAGAGGAAACAGCTCTGTGAAAAGGCTGTAATGTAAATGGATAATTCCACGGCCTCTCACGACCGATTCTGAATAAAACACAACAAATAAAACATGTGAGAGATTTCAGTGATTCAAATATTCTCAGTCTGAAATGGCGTATTCAAAATATGTGCAAAAACCATAGTAATATTCAAAAAGGTTCAATTTTGTGGTGACTTATTGTTCAAAATCCTTCAGTTGTTGATAAAATATGGTCCTTTTATTCTTTTACATCCAGCGTGTCCCACATTGATTGATCAGAACATGTGTCCATTCTTCTAAGAGACAAAACTGAGACAAAACAGCGAAGCGAGTGCTCTGCTTCAAATAATATTATTTGACTTTGAACAACACAACAATGTCCAAAAGTTCAGTTTTCCTACACTTTAAAGTTGATCTGTTGAGCAAAGTTAAGCCCAGAACTACAGTGGAGCAGGTTCCTGAGCCGAAAAGACTTAAACGCTCAGAAGAAAAGTTTACTGAACGCTCTCACCAGTCCTGATGAGCTGGGTCTTTTCTGTCCATGACGTTCTACATGTATGTCTATGACGGAATGTGTTCAGCAGTTGCCATGGTGACACAACGCACAGATTACCGAATGCAGCTGAAAAACGTTTTAGGACAGACTGAAAACTCAAGAAAAAAAAAAAGATATTAAATAAATGGATTTAAACAACCCATTTTCAGAAGCTTGTGATCAATACGAGCGTTCAGGGTCCTGTTTAGGAGTTTGATTTTCAACAAAAAGGTGAAAGTGACAAACTGAAAAACTTGTAACTGTAATCTGTTATCTGAGAGTTACACCATAAAGTTAAACCAATCCAATCACCCTGAAGATCACAGTCACAGTGATCACATGTACATGATGTTTTTTGATTCCAAAATGCTTGTTCTGAATGAAAGAGTGCTCCTTTGAGTTTACATGGAAATAATAATTCTGAATTGAGGTTTAAATGGAAAACACGTTAAATCGTCTTTATTTAATTCTGCTCAATGTCTGGGGGTGGGGAAGGGTTCGGATTGGACAAGGACACGAACGTATTTATGTCGAAAACACACACTTCAGCTGCTACCGGCTTTTTTGTCATCTCGGTTTGTTGTTACGCCACAGACACAAGCAGAATCTAAACTTTTTCCGCGGTTGTTCTGATGATAATGAAGCAGCGGCTCGAGAATTCTCTCATCACGCACAGCTGAGGAGGAGAAGGGAAGGAAGAGGAAGAAGACAAACTGAGGCCCTGTCCACACTAGTATGTATTCAAGTTGTTTTCATTGCAGATGCAGTGTTCGTCCACACTAATCCGACTGAAAACGGCTCCAGAAACGGAATGATCTGGTGCTGCTAGTTCCGCAAAGTAATTCACCGCCAAAACGCTATGTATGTCCATTCATATACACGGTTTATGCGTATGACCTGCAGACGTATAATCTCTGAAAAGATTAACATGAACCGTCTCCAATGCAATAGAAGCACAGAACAGACTCACCATCAGCAGAACACCCCTCTGTCACAGAAAGAACACTCATATTCCACTGAGTTTGTCCTTTAGTCCGACAGAAGCTGAACCGCATCAGCGCACAATATCGAGCTGTTTTTTGAGCACTTATGCAAATTAGCCATGCGGTTTTAAGTTTCATTTCTGTAAAACTTAAACAAATATGCTCAAAGCTGCATGGATAGGGAAGGATTGCGGACACAGAAACGACGTGTCTGGACACAAATCATTTCTGGTACGATGATCAGCGGATTCGTTTCACTGTAAACGTAGTCTTAGTCAGCTGTTCTACCTCAGCCCACTCCCGCATCCCACTCACAAATCCAAAAAGCAGTGGATGAAAGTCCAGAGCGAGGACTGGTAGAGACAGATCATTCGCATCACGTCAGAAGGGCGGCCGACAAGCATGCGCTGAATGACTGGAATTATTTTTAAGAAGAAGAAGCGTTTACATGATCGAGGAATAAATTAATTCGGCTTTAAAATCATAATAAACCAGCCACTTACTTCGAAATTAAGTTTAAATCCGAATAATA